AGAGCTGTATTATATTCCGGTAGCATTTTGTGGGCTCTGTTGGTCTACTATAATAGTAACAATTACCGTTTGGGTAAACTCAGAATTCACCAACTTCTGGAGACCTTAGACAGCCCTGTCTATTTGGTTATCATTTCGCTGGTAAGCACTGGCCTGACCACGGAAGACGGAAGACGGAAGGCCCTATTTCTACAGTGGGCGTTGTGCCACACTGAGTATAAAACACTTGCATTCATCCACATTTGTATACATTTTATTATAAAAACAGAACTTTTACTTTTTAATAAATTATAAACAAGTTAATACCTAAAAATTTTATTATCAAACCAAATTTTGCTAAGAATTTGTTTGTCCAGACATACCTATGTACATACATATGTATGTGTATAAATATATGTTTGCATATGTGCTCTATTTTCGCTTTCTCCGTATCGCAGAAAACTTTCGTAAACGACATGTGTAAGCACGATAAGTTTTTAAAACATTTTACGCCCACTCTCGTACACAGCCTGCATGTCGGCAGCGGCACGTGCGGCCTTTTGCATTACATCAACGCAGTGCTTTGCGCCAAACGTTAGCTGTCAAAGGTTTAATGAGTGATTTTTAATTTAGTTTGAAATGTTTATTGATGTAGCAAAAATTTGTTTTGATGTGAAGATTTAAATTTTAGGTTCGTACTTTTCGTTGCTTTTTTTTTTGACTACGTGCCAATATATCGTAAACGTGCCACGGTTTAACGGATGATTAATGGTGAATACATTTCTGCATTTATTATTTTTAAACTTTTTCTACTCGTTTGACATGCATACAGATTGTTATACACTTATTTAAATGTGCATGCATGTATGTATATTAGGGTGGGTCCACTTTTTTTCTATGCAATTTTTTTCTTGTATGCTCTATTCAGAAAAAAATACAAGTACGAGTTAAATCTACGTTTTTTTCTTTAAAACGTAACAAAATGTGAAAATTATTTACTGTTACGCTCTCTGGCGGATGCCTTAAATAAAAATTCAGACCAGACATTTATTCCTCATACAACAAACCCGCTTATAACATGTTTTTATACAAAATTTAAAAACTGCTATGGAAAAAACAAACAATTTTCGCAATTTCGCAAGCTCGAAATTGATTTTAGACCCATGTTTTCCTCGACTAATTTGCTTAGAATTTCACGTAGAATACTACACCTGCATAGTTAAAAAAATATCCCATACAAATTGATCCACCCTAATGGATGTACATATGTATACATACATATGTAAATGTCCACATATGTACATTAGACTGCATCACTCCCCATACAAAAAAAAATCGGTACTATTTTTCCATTGGAATTATAAAATCTATTATATTTTAAGACGTCCACCAAAATATTTCGGAAAAATATTAAGATTTAAGTGAGCTGGACCGATTTGAAAATACCTCCAAAAATTGAGTTTTTTATGAATAAAAATAGTTTCTTAAAGATTTTTTTTTTTGAAAAAATCCCTTCAAATTATAAAACGCTTTATATTTGCATAAAAATATTTAAAAAAAATTTAAAAAAAATTTTTAACGGAATCGTAATGATGAGATTTTTGATGCTGTTTTTTAACTTTTTTCAAAGATGGTATAGGAAAAACTTGAATAACTGAACCTAAACTCTTCCGATTTAGACTGAGCATCTACCACATGTACCACACGTGGTTTGAAATCTACCACATATTGGCGTTTTTGATTAGTTTTATTTTTGCTCGACATAATTTTCTTAATTTTTATTTTTTTTTAAAGCAAAAAATTGTCCAACACTAAACTCTTCGGGATAAAAATAAAAGCTGGCAATACTCCGCAAGATTGCAGATATCTCAAAGTATTTTAGAAAAATTTCTTTATTTGGAAGGAACTGTGTTACACTGCCAACAAAACAAAATTGCCAAAACTCAGCGCTATTTTTATCAACTTCAAATTTGCACTTTATTACACTAAAATTTTATGATTTTCTCACTAGAATTCTAATTAAAAAGTTGGAAATTTCGGTGAGAGTTTGCAAAGTTTTTCTAATTTTTGCACAAAGTTTGAAAAACGTATTTATATGTTTTTTTTTTAGATAATGATATGTGATTTTATAAAAAATTAATTAAATTAATTAGATGATAAACTATCCCAAACTGATATCTACCACATTATTTTCCAGATTCTACCAAACAGATTTGTTTCAGTCGGAAAATGAAAAAAAATTTTAAAAAATTCGAAAAATAAAAAAAAAATACAGAATTTTTAAACTTAAAAAATCGTACCAGGAAAACTTAAAAAAAAAATGCTTGCTACCTATAACTTTAAAAGATTCTGAAATTTTCAAGGCTTTTTTAAAGATATAAATTTTTGAACTTTGAAAAAAAATCTAAACTAATCTGTTTATAATTTACAAAAATAGTTTGTTTTTATTTTTCAAAGTTCGAAAATTCATTTCTTAGAAAAACCTTCTTGAAAGTTTCGAGATCTTTTAAAATCAGTTAGAGGTATTGTATAAAAAAAAACTGGAGCCATTTTTATACCCGAGCGCACTTGTGCACAAGGGTATATTAATTTTGTTCACATAACGGTTGTTTGTAACAGCCAAAACGAATCGAGATAGATATAGACAAATGTATACATAAATGATCAGGATGAAAAAAGAAATCGATTAAGCCATGTCTGTCTGTCCGTCCGTCTGTCCGTCTGTCCGTCTGTCCGTCTGTCCGTGTACACGATAACTCGAGCAAAAATTGAGATATCTCAACGAAATTTGGTATGTAGGTTTCCCTTAATCCAAGGTAGGTTGGTATTGAAAATGGGCGAAATCGGACTTTAACCACGCCCACTTCCCATATAACGGTAATTTCCAGAAATACGAAAACTGCGATATTTTAGTAACTACTGAAGATAATTCACTCAAAATTGATATTTACAATAATTTTTAGACGAAAAATAAGAATATTATAAATTTTTGGAAAATGGGCGTAGCCACGCCCACTTATGGTTACATGTGTATATCTTGGTAACCGCTGCACCAATTTCTTCCAAACTTGGCACAGTTGTTGGCCTTCGCATAACATACCAAATGGCCGAAAAGTTTTAAAATCGCTCAATAACCACGCCTACTTCCCATATAACGGTAATTTAGAGAAATACAAAATCTTCAGTAAATCGGTAAATGCTTGCAACAATTCTTAACCAAGAAATAAGTTTGTGATAAAATTTTGGAAAATGGGCGTGGCACCGCCCACTTATGATCACATATATGTAGCTCGGTAACCGTTCTACCAATTTGTACCAAACTAGGTATTTTTATTGTGCTTGCCACATAAAAGCAAAACGTTGAAAATTATTGAAAGCGGACTAAAATTGAGGCCGCTTTTCATATAACGGTAAATTTCAGAACTGGTTGAAACTTCAAAATTTCGAAATTCAAGGGACTCTAATTTACTCAAAATTGATACGCCCCGGCTTACCATGTAGCGGTAGCTTTCGGAAAGGTGAAAATACGTGCGCCGGGTATTTAATGTTCGGCTCCGACCGAACTTAGACTTTCTTACTTGTTTTATTTAAATTCGTTTCAAAAACAAATTCTTTCAATCACTCTTTTTCGTATGAAAAATTACTTAATTTTTCGTGCTTCTTAGTGAACAGTAACACTTTTTTTTAATTTAATTGAAACTTTTAACTTAGATCACTTTTTTCGCATTCTGAATTTTTAATGAATACCTTAATAAGTTGAAACTCGTCAAACGTGTTGAAGTCAGCGTTAAAAATAAATTTTATTGTATAACTCCAAACTTATATAACTCCCAGCACCGCATTGCATACAATGCCAAAGAAAGCAATGATTACATTTACGTAGCGGCAACTTGTAGAAAAAATTAATAGCACCGAAAGAATAAATTGAGCGTCGTAGCAAAAGTTACGAAAGTTAATTGAAATTGAAAAATGAAAGAAAGAACCCATACACGCTCCGATGACTCGCAGCAGACGATGACAAATTGAATTTTTGATCTGTGTTTTTTTCTGTGTTTTTGTGTTTTTACTCTTTCTACTTATTTCCAATTTGTGGGTGCGCTCCGCTACGCTACACCAAAGCGCTACAGTAAAACGTGAGTCAGAAAGTTAACGAAAGCGCTAGACATAAAAGAGGTTTTATTGAGTATTCTCAACTTTTTCTGTAAGCAGAAATCAGCAACACAAGCAGACAGACAAACTCGCTGTGCACTGCCAAACTTCAAATCAATGCAAAATGTGAAAAATGCAAAACACAACGCGTACACGCGCTAACAAAAATGATTGCATAGATTAAGACGAGAACAAATGGTTGGCAGTTGTCAGGGCGCAAAAGTTGAAAATTTATGCAAAAGTGCAAATATGGCGCAAAAGTGAAAACGTAAGTTAAGGGGCAACACGTAAAGTCGCAAAGTCGCGCGGCCACGTGTACAGGGCAAACTGCTTGCACATTGGTATTGAGCGCGCGCATCAACACGAGGGCGCGCGAGTGTTTTGCCGCGGTGTAAAGAGCGCGAGCGCGCGCGCGGGGGAAGCGCCGGCCGAAGGCCTCCTACGCAGAAAGAAGTTCTGCGCAAAAATACAGAAAGTAGAATTCTACTTAGTAAGGCTTATAATCAAGCAGCGCGCCGCGCCGTAACTAGTCAAAAGTCGCCGCCTTCGCTTTTGCACAACCAGCGCAGCGCGCTGCTCACCATCTCACCTACGACACATACGAACGCATGTACTCCAAATAAAATCAGCTAAACTATGTACAAACAAACATAGCTCTGCTATTTAGGGCTTTTTTTCTTTTTTTTTTTACTTCCGAGAGCATAACTACATTCATTGTTGCCCGCGTGTGCATTACGTATACGCCAAAGGCTGCCGCGTGCGCTCGAGCTTAGACGCTTAGACGCTTTATCGTCGCGCAGTTACGTGCAAATACATACATACACTTGTACATACCTATATAGATACTTTTGCATTTAAGCTACTCAACTTACCATAGTTAATAATGCTTGTGGCAATGGGCGCATTGCCATTACTGTTGTTAGTTGCCGCGCCTCCACTACCACCCATGCCTGCCGCCACTGACGCGGATGCCACCGCTACCGATGACAATAGCGCAGATGTTGTATTTGGCTGGCGGCGTATTTCCTTGAGATTTGTGCGTATTTGCCGCGGTTTCTTCTCTGAGCAGATTGTGGGCGCCATGGTTCCTTCTCTGTTTGTCGTACCTAAGTTGATGTAGTGGTTAGCGTAAGCCTGCAAATGAAAAAGGAAATGGAAAAGAATTTAATTAAAATATACAGATTAAGCTATATATAGTATATTGTATAATTTTTTTTCTTCAGATTTATTGCTATAGTTACATTTGCGCTGTGCGTCATCGGAAGAGATTACTTTTATTTTTCCTACCGCATGTGCGCTTCTACGGCAAACCACAAAAGCTTATATTGCATTCAATCGCCTCTTGGTGTTTGTTCAGATTGCGCTGGAAAACGCACGTGAAGGAAACAGCGGTAAACGCTGTAATATTATGTATGGCAAATGTGTCCAAGGTAGGGAAAAGTTGGCATTACATACATATATGGCGATAGTACGTCCGATGATAACTTATACATATTTACACCGATATATGGTATGAGAGAACTACACAACGGCGTGCCATCAAGTCGCTCAGCAAGATATACATATAGGCTGACAGACATATACCTAACAGCAGCGAAGAGAAATTATCCAACAGCATGCTTGAAAGTTCTTCTAGATCTCAATCCTCTAAAGATTCATATCCAAGCCTCAAGCAAAGAGGGGTATCATAGAGTTGACTGTTATCTAGATCGAGACAGAAGGTCGGTCTCCTGAGTTGTGGAAAAATTCATATTGAGTGGTTGACGGCTATTAAGTACGCCAGATCACATTAGGTAACATCAAAACTTACGCGGGAGGGCCTCCCTCTTGGTCTGAACAATCGTGTTTGGGTTTTCTGGGTTCCGGCGCACATTGATATTCGAGATATTGAAGAAAATAAGATTTTCGATAAGCTTGTAATGCTATTAAATTAAACATGTTGATCGATTAGAGTGACACGAGGTTTGGCCACATCTTCCAGTAGACTTCAGGCGCCTGGACTACACGGTGTCGCCTACTGGACTTCAGAATCACTTCCAGACAAGGATCCCCTCAAGGGGTAACGTGATCTCGTATTCTGACTCATCAACCATCTACACTGATGGATCCAAGTTGGATTTTAAGATAAGAAGTTGGGTATACTCGCAAGAACTCCCACTTAGCCTTAGTTTACATCTGCCAGATTTCTGTAGCGTTTTTCAAGCCGAAATAACCGTAATAAACAAAGATGCAAGAGACGGTAACAATATTTTCTGAAAGCACTTAATTGTGACAAATCTGCATCGAAGATTGTCAGGGAATGTAGCAACCAGTACAGCTCGTAATACGGACATTCCGCTATCTTCCTGCCAACTCTGGCTGCAGATTAACTTTCTCACCGGGCATTGCCTGATGGGAACCCACTCTGCTAGAATGGGTTTGCAATGAAACGACTCTGTGATGAGGAGGAATTCGAAAGCGTGGATCACCTATGCCACTGTCCCGCTTTGGCGAGGACTCGTCGACGCTCGTTCCTCCATTATTCTTTTGAACATTTAAATTTAAATATTTGTAAACAGTGTTGCCAGCTTGCAAAAAGTATACGTTTATAATTAAGTACGTAAAGCATAACAAATTGAGATGCTAAAGATGTTTAAGAGACTCGAGATTTGTTTTTGTTACAAAATATTTAAATCTAAAACGCGTAATAAAAAAGGGTTGCCATCTCAAAAAAATTTAAGCTTAGATATTAAATAAATAAATGTATATTAAAAATATCGTTCAATTAAA